GGCTTTCATGCCTAAGGCGGGACTAGAACTCACCGTCTCCTGGCTATTGGTCCAAAGTCACCCAGCTGGCTTCCATGCCTAAGGCGGGACTAGAACTCACTGTCTCCTGGCGATTGGCCCAAAGTCACCTAGCTGGCTTTCATGCCTAAGGCGGAACTAGAACTCGCCGTCTCCCTGTGATTGGCCCAAAGTCACCCAGCTGGCTTCCAGAATTGGGAAGCCCTTTGAACACTGACTCACCTCATGACCGGAGTACTGCAATGTACTTTTCATGGGGCCACCCTTGAAGACTGCCCAGAAGCCTACCCCTGCAATCAAAAGCCAGCGGTGCCAGCCATAACAGGTATATGTCGGCATGCTTAGATGCCACCACTGCTGCTTGAGCTGGCAGGAATGCCAACCGGCTTCCGAGTGCAATTCAGGGTGCCCAGTTATTTGCCTCTTAAAATCCGTGCCCGGATATCCGAGAGACGGTTAGGAAATTGGAAGGAGGGGATCAAACATGGTCCTTTGCAAAAGGGACGACGGGATTTTATTTTTATCTTCTTTACGAAAGCTCCTCTCGTTGCGTTTCCCCCGCAGGCCTTAGAGGTTGGTATCCCGTCATTCTCCCGGAGGACCTCTTGGCATCGCAGCGCGCCGACGTCACGCAGAGCATCGTGGGAGGTTTGGAGATTTCGGTCGCCTTTGTTCTCCCCGCGGACCGGGAGCGTGTTCTGGAGACGGCCACCCATGTAGGGTGGGACTGGAAGGACACCTACTCCGAGGATCCGTGGGAGGATAGTGAGAGTGAAGAGCGGACCCCTTCGACATCGCTCCGTGTGACTATTTCCACCCCTCGGCTGTGGCTACCGCTACAGAGCATGCTACTCGCAGGAGAAGCGCATTTAAACAAAAGCGTCTACTTCTATCTCCGCTACAAGCTCTACGACCAGGAAGCCACTTGGTCTTCCCTCCGGAGGCCAAAGTTGACGGAAGGCGACACACGCGGGATGGTGATCTTTAAGAAACCCAACCGGACGGATCTCCAGTCGAGTCCGACCTTGCTCTGGTACTTCAGGGAAGAGAAACTGGAACTCCAGGTGTGGCGTGCGTACGGCAAAGATGGCGATGCGGAAAGACCGCTGGATACCGACCGCTTGATCGGATCCGCCTATGTGGACCTGGCACCGCTGGCGGAGAGCTCACGAAAGAAGAAAACGGTCAGCGGTAGGTTGATAACGGTTTTTATCAATAGCCCTTAGACTTATATACCGCTTTATAGTGCTTTCCAGCCGTCTCTGAGGGTTTTACAGAGTCAGCCTCTTGCCCCCAACGATCTGGGTCCTCATTTGACCCACCTGGGAAGGACGGAAGGCTGAGTCAACCTGGAGCCTGGTGAGATTTGAATTGCAAAATTGCGGGCAGCCGGCAGTCAGCAGAAGTAGCCTGCAGTACTGCACTCTAACCACTGTGCCATCACAGCTGCTCCTTTTCTTCTTTCCTCCCTGCCTC